ACGGCAATGTGTATCATTCAGGGATTGTATAGAATGCCTAGTCATTCTTTACCATACTGGGCTTCTTTACGCCATGTGTGTAATAGTCAATATTTTCAAACTATTATACACATTTCTTAGGCATTGTACAAAATAGCTAGGCATTGTATAGAATGCCAACAAATAAATCAATTTAGTAATTTCTGTTTGCGTTTCCGAGTTAGGTTTGTACTTATATGAAAAAGCAACACGAGCCGAGCGAACGTGTCGCGGCACCGCGGCACATGGGTGCTTGTTTCAATAAAGTCCGTCACCCTGAGACCGAAGTTGCCAAGATCCTTGTGCCTGTTAGTTCACCAGCAGTCTACGCTTCAAAACCGGAACACAGGAATGCTAACATGAATACTTCCCTGGACTGCAATAAAGAGTATGGTAATTTTGATTTGTGTATCTCGCATACTTAAAATAGATATTTAGTTTGAAAAAAAATTGGGATTTTCATAAACAAATATCATTTGTAATATAATTACCTATTTTTTCTTAAAAGAAAAATTCTTGGACGTGCTATAGCACTTCCTATTATCACATTACTTTGTGCACCTACATTTAACAAAATATTTATATATATTAATTGCCTAACGCACGTTCGGCATTGTATAGAATACCTATTAATATTGTAATAGAATATCAGATTACATACATTGCCGATAACATATACATATCTAAATTTATTAGATAAATATGTATATATATGTAATTCCTACCAGACCACCTACATACCGTCGTGGCAAACTTTTAAATGAAAATCTTTTCAGTAATAACGTATCATTTTGCCTGCGATGCTGACGGTAGTATTTTACAACATCACTACATACAGAAACAAAAGCAAGTGTAAATTACGTAAACAATTAAAAAGACTGGTCCCCAAACGAAACACGTGGAAACGATTAAACATACACGAAACAGACTTTTGAACAATCTCCAACAACTCGAAAAAAACTCACGAAAGCTGGACTTAGTGTTGTAGGGCCCAAAAAATATGTGATAGGGTCGAAGGGTGGTTAAGTCTCTGTTTACAGTTTTGTGATGCCATTCAGAGTGACACTTGCCCATAAATAAGGATTTCAATCTATTCCAATTACTCATATGAGGTTTATGGTGATATTGTTTACGTTTTCGTTTTGGTCTGTCGCTTCTATGTTGAGATTGCTCGGAAAATTTTACTGCTCTGCATGGAGTTTGCCCATCGGACACTCTTATCTTTTCACAGTCACCACATGCGTTTTTGTTTAAACACATTTTAACCTGTTTATGACACGGTAAAACATTCTTACCTTCACATGATTTAAAACATTTTTTACATGCAGAAGACGAGCGCTTTAAAATTTTTGTTTTACAAGGAATATATCGAACACTTACTGTGTTTTTTCGGTTATGACGATTCATTCCTAAGTCGCTACAGCATGGCTGCATTATTGGTGAACATGGTAAATCATATTTTGGTTGAAATTCACACCGTGTTGGTGAATGTTGGTGTTTTTTATTTTTGGATGTTTTTTTTGAAGACTGAGATGGCACCCGCCGATTTGTATTTTCACGCAAGGGTGGACAAACATATTCCATCGAAACAGTTTGTGGTTCCTGAAAAGGCGTTGTGTTTCCAAATGCATAAGGAAAATGAACCGTTTTACCCGAAAATGGGTTTTCGTTTGGCTTCCTGCATTCAAGTCTCATCACCGTTTGTACCTTCTGTATAGTAGCCAATGGAAAATTTCCATGACAAGCACGCCTTGAAATTTTACTTTGATGCGCAGACCTGGTTGGAATACTGGTTGTATTGTAGTAAAAATCAGCAATACTATCAGTTCTCCTTTTTTCCACACGTCTGACTCTGTTTACATTATTGTGATTATAGAGAAAATGCGTTTGCCTCTTGTCTCGAATATGAGGTTGATGACATATGATTTTCTCTGTTGTAGGTTTTATCACTGTTGCTTTATGACGTTTATGATTCAACGAGTATTTTCGTTCCAAGTTTGGGACATGCGGTTGATTAAATTTCGATTTCGATTTAGATTGAATTGCGCATAAGTTGTTAAAAATTGTAATCGGCCATACTTCGCTATTTAAACGTGTATAGAACGGTAACCCTGACTTTTTTTTATTATCTCCAGATTTCCATGGAGCACCTACAGGTTGAGGTCTTAGAGGATACGTTATGAACCAAAAAAGAAGAAACGTGATTATACATGGCGACCAAACGATTGTTATGAGACCACATAAGATATACCCTAATATAGTTGATAGTGTGCTTCGACCTTGGCATCGTGGGTGGCGTAGTTTTCCATTATGAGTATATTGTGTAATGTCATTTACGTATTCCTGAAAATGTCGATTGGCTCCGTTACTAAAAGTTTGGATCGCCTGCACAAGACCTCCGTCTCCACAACCAACGTCAAAATACTCTCTAATACTAGCATTTTGAATTATATTCTGTTCATTGTTTGCCTTGTCCTTGTCTATACTTATTTTTGCAGGTGTTTCCATACTTCTGTATGTTTCTTTTCCTGACAATCTTTTTAAAGAATTATGAGGGAACTTTTCAAATTGTTTTGAATTTCGCTCATTGCTACCATCCGATATTGTAATTTTGTTGGTCGCATCCTCGGCAAAGTTGGTGCAAGACTTGCAGGGCTTGAGGTCTGATAGTTTATTATTTATCCACTTACGACCAATACTTGCACGTTGGTGATAAACGCACTGCAAATTTCGACCTTGATGTGAACGAAACCGGAAGGCATCGTCGAAACTCCAAGAAGGTCTAGCGGGGGTAGGTTTTTTGCTTTGTTCGGGGTCACTTTTTTCAAAAGGATTTCGAACAAACAAAACTTCTACGTTTTTTTTCTTATTACGTTTGTGGATATTATCTTTACCTTTCTTTCTCATTACTCTGAGTTGTTGACCTATACTGGTACTATTGAAAGATCTTATAGGATTTCTGATTTTCTTTGAAAAACCATACTCAGGGAATTTCCACAAAACGTTATCCAAATTAATAGCTTTTACATCGTTCAGTTTTCCTGGAAGTAATGATAACATTGTAAATCTGTGTATAACTTGATGCCGTAGTGTCGTTACCAATTATTTTGTAAATATCTTACCTTTTGAAGGAAAGTGGTCTACCGTCCTTCTTATCTTGTTGTGATTGTTGGGACGGTTCTGATGCACTGGAACTTGCTTTACACATTTTTTCTCAACTTGGTTATCTGAAATTCTCCTTTTTTCAATTCTGTAATATGTCTGCCCAGCGATAATCCTATAAGGTCGCGAAGTTTCTGGTTGTTTAGCATTTACTTTTGCACTATTTTTTAACTTTTTACTCAGTGGTTCTGGTTTTTCATTCACAGCTAGTGTTTTATCACAATAATTATTATCGAATTTCAACATGCGAACTCGATATTCAGTAATTCTGTTATCCATTATTAAGTACAAAACGTAAGTTATAATAATTTTACTCTCTAGCAGAAATCTTACACGATACGGTGCTGTAAACATAAGCATAAAGTATAATAAAACATTCTTAAAAAGACTGTTTAAAATAGGCAAAAATGCTCACAAATCAAGGTATAGTATACCGAAAAATTACGCGGAATACAAAATCAAGTTACACCAAAGACTTGCATAGCTCATCACGGCTTTAGAGCAACATCCAAAGAATCGACTACAGCGCCATATATGGGGATTGCAATAAAGTCATTTAGACATCATTGGTGTAACTTAAGTGCACAACATCAATGGAAACTGACACTGGCCTAAGCCTAGTGGCCGCCATTAAGGAAATAGAATAGAACTTAAGTGCATACTAAGGGCGCATTTATTAGACACGAATTTCATCGTGCTTACATTATGGCAAAGTACGTTCTTATTTATTTAGCTTTTACGTTTTAGGCTTAGGTTTGAGGTTGGCTTGTCTCTGGACTACGCGGCGACCACGCGGTTGTATTATTCAGAGGAATTTAAATGTTGTTGCCTAATAAATAGAATTCAGATTCGTCATTAATGTACGTGAAAGCGCGGTAACTGGGTGGTCGCGCAAAAACTTTCGGGCGCCAAGTACCTCTTGTCCTTGTTCAATATCGTAAACATTTTTAATATTCTAAACTATAAATACATATTTTTATGACACCCCGTGTAAAACATTATTTATTATATTAAAATTCTGGCCCTTAACATCATTGCAACCAATAATATTCAACGCAAAAATTTGCCATCTGAACCTGTAACATTGGACATTAATTGAGTACTTACCCGCTTGATGGCAGCACTGTAATTAACGGCGAAGTGAGTAGTTTCCTATCTATTTCCTTAGTGCTACATAGTTATCTATGACGTACACCGTGTGTAAAAGTTTTCTGTGTTGATGACACACCGATGACGTGACAACCGCAACATCTTTTTTATAATCAGGCTAGGCAGAGACAACAGCCTTCCACTCGCTACGGTCCTGACACACTTCCTTCGTCATCATCAGTGATTTCATACAATGTCGCCAATTAAGGGTAGTCTTGAGCTGATCCTTCTTTATCGAGTCTCGAGTCTTTTTCTTGCGTTTTTCGCTTGCTTGCATGACTAGCTTCCCGCATACGCAAAGATCTGTCGCGTACAGGACGCAGACAGGACGCCGGCCGTTAGCTTTGCGCTGGATTTCTTTGCGTCGAGTGAGTTTCATATCTAGCAAGATTGATATTTCCACGCAAGCAACAGGGATCGTTTGCAGAGGACAGCACCACTGGCCAATCACAGAACACTAGCGTCCTCGCGTCCACTACAACCAAATCAAAGGTAAGGCATCGCGCATGAGCGACTTGCTCTCCGCAACGTAAAGCGGAAGACTCGTGACCGCCTTTGCGCGGAAGGCAGATTTCTACGCCACGCCATGTGCCCAGCCAACGCAAGCAAACGAAAAATGTAACTGTAAAGATTCCTGAACCGGACATTAGTATGGCCTCAATTTAGTCATTACCCATGATCTTGACTGAGTCAATTCGGATGACTCCTAGGATGCTGCTGGTAATGTGTAAACACGTGATCCGAGCGCACTCAGACGTCTGCATTCAATCAATACGTTACGAGTGGCGTGCAAGTTGTCGTCCGAGTGAACTCGGTCCGAGTGTATTGATAAATTGAAAGCCTGCAGCTTGATTTTGATTGCCTTTCCCGATCGGAAACTGCGTCTTTTCCGAGTCGAGGCGCATAATTGCGATTCACAACTGGCCGATCGGAAACTTTTGACATTTCTAACCGGAACTATAGTTGATTTAACTCACAAATTAGAAAGATATAGTAGGAATAAGGTTCATCTTCTCGCTCAGAAACCCGTCCGATTTCGAGACTACCCGATCGGACCGATTCCAATTTGAATTAAAATCAGGACGCTGCCTTTAGCAACTTAGCCGCTCACACTCGCCTTATCAATCGCTTTCGTATATGGTCTGCGGGTTTCATCAATCTTCTTTCATTCATTCCCTCCACATGATGGTTTCATCTCAGCATCTCTTTCTCTATCTTTGCCACTACATCTTTTTCCACGCCATAACGCTCTCTTATCACACACACTCTGTTCCATAATTCCGTAACACATATCTACGAGTACATCTGAACAAAAACACGTTTTTAGATAACAAACCATTAGTGATCGCAATATATTCTAGAAAATTAAAAATCGTTTCATTAAAGTTTAATTAGCCCTCACTTAATAAAAAAAAATTGTCTTCGGTTCAAACCTAAGAACAAGGTGATACCCTTAGAATATTAACGCATAGAAACCTAGTCCGCACACGCTAAGTGAGGCAAATTGAAGCGCACCCAAAGGGCCTACACGAGCGGGCGGGCAGTCAGTGCGCAAGGTCAACTTGCACCCCGAACAGTTCAAGAATTTTAGCTAAAAGTGACGAAATGTGCGGTAAATGATTGTAAAAATACGTCAGACAAACATAAAATAGACACTAACATCACATTCCACAAGGAAGTAACGCGTTTCAACATGTATTTTTATATAAATATTCACTAAAACCGAAAATTAACCTACTACTAAAACTAGCCTACATGAATTTGATTTTCGCATCACTTGTGACAGTTCCTTTGATATGAAACTATCATTCTATGCGTTATTATTCTAAGGCGGTGCCTATATTTAAAGATTCGTCGATTTGTAGAGCAAATAAAACAAAGATAATAATAATTTGTAATACGAAAAAAAATTGACATCTTAAATATACGTTTAATATTTAAAAAATGTAATACATACAATATTATAAGCACATTACATTAAATATACAAAGTAAGCCATAGCGAATCTATATAATAATTGTGCTCAGAATCGACTGTTGAAACAAAGACAGAAATATAATATACACGGTAAACAACATACAGATGCCCAAAAAGTTAATAATGCACGCATAATGCTAGGTT